GGGCACCGAGAAGGCTCATCTCAAGTCGACTTGCTTTCCAAATAGCTTCAATGATCCCTCGTTGAATACACGTATTCTAGTATAGAACAAGGCAGGGAGGACTCCAGCCATAGCGATCATGGTAAACACACCCATGAGATTAATGAGCTTGTCAACACTGGGGACAACAATTGCAATGACCAGGGCGATTCCAACCAGGAAGGTGCGAGCGATGATTCTCTTGATGAGATCGCGCTTCGCCGTGCTGTCAACATCGATATTGAAAGCGTACTCCAGAGAGGCGGCGATCGGCATGAGGATGACCAGGAAATGAGGAAAGGCCAGTAGAAGCATGGCGATCACTGCAATGTACCCCCATACATCAAGCGGCTGGCCAGGCGGAGCGATGCTGTTCATTATAGGAACTTCAATGAGGCTCCTGCCATAGCCGTAGTAGCCACAGGCACCGACACCAACGTAGATGACGAAGACTATAAGGAGACCAGCAGAGGCTGCCTTAGGGAAAGCCGCAGGTGTGATCATCTCACGAATGAGGGTGGGCGTAGCACTGGCCATTTGATAGGAGAGAATGGCGTTACCAAAGGAGACGGCCCATGTGAGAGCATCACCATTGAAGAGATCATAATCAATAGGCTCATCAGTAGTGATGCCATTCTCAATGCCCTTGGCTGCGATAATAACGAAAAGCGCTATGACACCTACCAAACCAACAATGGCAACATAAGAGATCTCCTTGAGGGATCTCAACCAGGAAAAAGGAAGGCAAATGGCAGCCCAGATGACACACCATACGGTAACGGAAAGCCCTGGAGCCAACTTCTGGGTATTCTCGCCCAGCAGAAGAAGGAGAGTGGCACAAACTCCGGTCATGGTGACATGAACAATAAGGGCTGTAATGATCTGACCAGCTCGACCAAAGCAGACTCTGCCGAGCTCCTCATAGGTGTTGATAGGATCTCCCTTGGGATGATTCGTGACGGCTTTGTAGAGGTTGCAGACCATATAGTCCGACAAGGCAGCAGCGACGAACAGGACGAGAATGCCGCCAATCCAGCCACAGGTGGCCATGACGGTCGGGAGGGTGATGACACCCAAACCTGCACGAAGAAGGCAGTCTCGAAAGTACAAGTACAGCCGCATATGTTCTTACCAATGGCTGTCAGTACAATGTTGATGATGGATCGAACATTAGAACACTTATGAGAGTTCTCTTCACTAGCATCGTCTACTGCTGCTGCTGCCTTATAATCTAAGGAATCGCTCACGGTTGAGTCCTCCGAAAGCTTCGTGGAGGAGGCCACAGAGCCTAGATGATGATGATCTTGAT